ATATTTCCATCAATTCCGTAATTGTTGTAGCTTGGTCTGTAAACTCACCAAAACTCATCTTCTAATTTATATTCTAGCCGCGTGAATAAAGGACGTTTTGTGCTGAAAGCCTTTCTCTCCCTCTGAACGGAACAAGTCGATGCACGCTCAAACGCGCGCAGACTACCTCGGGAAGATTTTCAACTCAAAAGGTTGATCAAATACGACGCATTGTTGTAGGAGATCATTAGTGCGCTGGCCAGTGTGCGCTTAGACAGACTTCTTCTGGCAGACGTTAGTGATCTGGCGCTAACAAAAAACTGTGCCAAAAGAAGGGTAGCTAGACTTCACAGCGACGGACAAGTAAAGTGACGAACGGTTCCTACCAACAGTGTGTTCAAACCCCTCAAAGAAACCAGCTGCGAGAAATGCTGCGAATGGGCTTTAGGTGCTCTTGTTAGCCACTAAGCAGCCTAATTAGTGTAATGCACACCCTAGGCACGATGAAAAAAGTAGTTCAGTGCGACTAATTTAATTATGAGGTATCTTCCTAATCCAGGATTCGAAGCAGCTTCTACTTCCACAGGGGCTGATAAGAAATTCCCTCACATCGCCTGGCGCCCCAACAATACAGAACAGAGGAGCAAAAAAGAGATAATGGGCGTAGACGAACAGCAAAGTACGCGTCCTCCGCTCATATAAGGGGCCACGCCAGAGATGAGCTGGACAGATTAGGGCCTGGAAGGCGTAAGTCCGCCCGCGCACTCATAACAGTGCTCATGCTGATGAAGGGTGAAACCGCGGGTAAACAACCCCGCAAACGAAAGTTCAAGATTCGAATACGGCCGCTATAAGGAACGGACTACGTACATAACTCATGTTTCTGTAAATCTACTCAGAGTTTGACAGTGGATTTCCAGCTAGTGTTGCCATCGTTCCGGAGGTTTTACATTTTAGAAGACTAAAATTGGGAAATAATGAAGGTATGGATACGTCTATGGCATTGGTAGCTGTGTGTTGTTGCTTTCCTATTTTTTTCAGGAACAAAGCGTAGAAATATTGAAAGGATTGTAATGAATCACGCTCAGCCTTAAGTCGAACAAAAGGAACTACTGTTACAGCTGAAGCGGTTGGCCGGCAGTAAGGCTCGTCTTAAAACTAACACCCTAAGAGCCTCTTTTCGTGATGTTTTAGCGCCTAAAACTTCGGCAGCTACGTAAATCTGGTAGCCACATGTATGAGGATAAAAAGGCTGTTTAACTTTTGCTAGACAAAGCTTCCTTTAAACTTGTTTAACTCGAAACTGGGTGTAACATATAGGTCAAAAGAGTACATTTATGCGTTTGGACATCAACCGGTAGACATATGTCGTTATTCAGGTTTGTTCTTATTACATTTTAAAAGCTAGCTTGCTGTCTTATTCGTGCGATTTTCCTTGGAAAATACGCGTATTTTCTGAATTACCAGCTCTTGGAACGGAATCGACTAATGTGCTGCCCTCCCTTTCAACGTGAGTAAGAGCCACCCGCAAATACTCTTTTTCTTATCTGTAAAGTAAATAATTCACTTCCGTTTTCGGACGGACAACTAACCACTAGAGCTAATGGTTCAGTGAGACACGGTATGTTTTAAAAGAAACTTTTATGAAAGACTGACTAGGAGGCTCAATCCCGATGAAGAAAACAATTTACGTGATCCATATTTCTGAGGGCTTATTGCTGCAGGTACTTTCAAGCCAGAAAACAGGCTAAGCCTGCTTCTTCCCCACCTAGCACTCCGGCCATTGCCTCCTGAGAAAATAGACTTCTGCTCAGTGCGTGTCCCTTGGATGAAAATAGACACGTTTACGAAGGGTGTGATTGAGGTAAATCAGTGGGGGAAACTCAGCCACCATAATTATCCTTCCCTTATTTTTACGGAAGCTGAGTTTAGAGTCTAAAAGGCTACAGAGTGACAGAGAATTAAGCAGGATGCAAAGCCAAACAAATCTGAAAGCAGGGCTTTTCAACGGGGCTTCCCGCTAACCGAAGTATGCAAATGGGGGCTAAACAGGAGCAGAAAAAATATAACCTAAAATCTAACAAGTGCATGGATAGCCCAATAGTAAAATGCTCCAGAAGGGAGGGAGTTTCTGCCTCATAGCTCCTTCATATAGAACAGACAGACCTGAGTACTGACGCACTCTTTCTTTTACCAAATCTACAATCGGTTTTCTTGTCTGATTATAAATAGCTGTGCCCGCGCTAACCAATCAGAACGCTCATCATGGTGAGAAACTAGCCAGAGTGTATTAATGAGTGGCATGTGCTCTGGTTTGTTTCGTTTCAAGGTCACGGGGAAGCGAGACGCTCGAGAGCTTTGTTCAGTATTGTTGTTCTTTGCCGTTTGGACGCCCTAATTGTGGCCCCTTATGTGGCTGCTAAGACTTGATAATTTATTGTTCCTTTTGCTGGACGAAAATGTGGTAGTCAGCATGTCTAACAGTCGAAGAACACGACTGGTTACCCAGATAAATTTTCGGTACATGTACACAAGATTCCCCCATGAAGTCATATTAACCGAACTTAAGTTCTCGTTATGGACTTCGTGCA